ATAAAAAAGAAAGATATTTTGCCATTTGTGGCCCTTCATTCACTTTTTTTTTCTACTTCAAAACCAGAATTTTATAACTGGCAGAAACATTTCCATTCCATCAAAAACAACAAAACACCTAGAAATAAACTTAACTAAGGAGGTTACCTATACTCTGAAAACCAAAATGACACAAAGAAATGGAAAGATTTCTTGTGCTCTTGGATTGGAAGAATTAACACTATCAAAATGGCCAAACTACCCAAAGCAATCCACAGATCCCATGCAACCCCCATCAAAACACTTACAACATTCCTCACAGAACTAGAACAAACAATTCCAAAATATATAAGGAACCACAAAAGACCCTGAACAGCCAAAGCAATCTTTTGTAGGTCTCTCTCTCTTTTTTTTTTCTCTTTCTTCTTTTTGTTCTCTTTTCTTACGGTTTGATGACTAGAGACAGTCCTTTAACATTTGTTGTAATGCTGATTTGCTGGTGTTGAAATCTTTTAGCTTTTGTTTATCTGGGAAGCTTTTGATTTCTCCATCAAGTATGAACGAGAGCCTTGCTGGATAGAGTATTCTTGGTTGTAAGTTTCCCCCTTGCATCACTTTAAATATTCCGTGTCACTCCCTTCTGGCCTGTAGAGTTTCTGCTGAAAAATCAGCTGATAACCTTATGGGAGTTCCATTGTATGCTGTTCATTGCGTTTCTCTTGCTAATTTTAATATTTTCTCCTTATCCTTAATTGTTGTCAGTTTGAGGACTATGTGCCTTGGTGTGTTCCTCTTTGGGTTGATCCTGTGTGGTACTCTCTGCGCTTCCAGGACTTGGGTTGACTATTTCCTTTCCCAAGTTAGGGAAGTTTTCTGTCGTTCTCTCTCCAAAAATCTTCTCAGGTCCTTTCTCTCTCTATTCTCTTTCTGGGACTCCTATAAAGCAAATACTAGAGCACTTCATGTTGTCCCAGAGTTCTCTTAGACTATCTTCATTCCTTTTTATTCTTTATTCTTTGTTTCTGTTCTGAATT